AAACACGCTGCACGTGCAGGCGTTCAGTAAGCGCTTGCTTCCCGCAACTGCTGCCAAATTTTTCCACTAATGGAAATTTTCGATTATTTAATGTTAGGTTGCACACCGCGTGGCGTTCGCGTGAATTCCCACTGTTTGCTGGTGAAGAGTACATTTATGCCACTGATTAATTGACTTTCTCTGCTCGATCGCATACTTGTACGTAGAAATGAGAAATTGATTGCTTGAGTGTGTTCAAATGGCGTTACAGCCGTCGCGCTGTGCAATACACTTGGGGGAGTTATTTTTTGTGCGCCTTGTGCGCAGCGAAGGGCGGCGTTACATGTACAAAAGTATATGTGTGTGTTGTAGCTTCCTTCAATCGAGCATGTCAAATTTACTTGGCATAGATAACGTATCGTTTCGTTTTTGTTTTATTATCCATTAGCACACCTTCACCACGTGCGTCGCATTTAAATGCCACTGTAGTCGCGGTTATCATTGCCAGCGGCAGCAATGCGACGCAAATTGCACGCGTTACACGCTCAATCTATTATGTCAGCGAACGCAACATTTTGTAGCAGTCAACGCTGCGTGGCGTATTGATCATCTCCATTTGGCTTTTGGCTATTGTTAATAACCTCTATAAAGTGTGCATTGTTTTGTTTTCTTTTATTTTTAGGTTTTTTCCGTATTGTGTTTTTTTGTTTTGTTTTTTTTTTTTTGCTGTGTGTTGCTGTCTGTCTGCCTTTGCGTCGAAAGAAAAAGTTTTGTTTTGAAAGCGAAAGTAGCAGGCTCTTCGTTGTGTCTTCTTGACAATATCCGCGCTCTTTGCTTTTGGTTTTACATATTTATTACCGGCTTATATTCGATTTTTTTTTAATTAATTCGTTATTTCGCGGCTACTTTGACGATGTTTTCAAAATTAAACGCGTTGCATAATATATAACGTTTTGTTTTTTTTTTTGTATGTGTACAATTTATGTATTTGCTTGGTAGCGGGAAGAAATTAAAATTTCAAATTGCTGCATAATTTTTTTTAGTGGCCAAAAGAAGAAACTTCAGCTACACTTAAATAAGCCATTGACAGATGTGAGTGTTTGTGGTGAACGGTAAACGGGTGGGTGGGGTTAGTGTCATAATAGTGCATTGATCTGCATAAGAAGATGTCACTGAGATACGCGCGTTTTGTTGAGGTGAAATTGACGCGCATAAATTTCTGTTTGTATGTGTTATGTTGATTGTTTGTGGACGAAGAAAGTGGCTGGGAGCTTTAGCACTTTAAATTGCTGTGATACGGCGCTTGTTAGCAGAAAAAGAAACAAGCTTGAGTAGATTAGTTAAAGCAAATAGACAATTTAAAGCACGGCGATCGCCAATGCCAAATTTGGAATTTGTTTTTTCTCAGCAAAATATTTTGGGAGGGGATTTACATATGTATATATTTTAAGATCTGCGATTCCGTTCTATTACGAGAACCCAAGGGTCTAAGAATTTTCAGAAAAATATTATATACAAAAAAATGTATATTATTACGAGAGAGGCTCTCTAGTCCCCGTTAGGATGGTAAGGATTAGCCAAGTAGTCGTCGATGTTATTTAACCGAAGGCCTAAGATACGTGCTGTTTCGACGGGGTCGGACCAGAGGGAGAGGGGTGTCAGATGGATGGGGTTGGTGGGTCATGCAAAAAAGTGGCTAGTATCATGCGGAGACTCATTGCACGTAGGACAAATATTGGATATGTCGGGGTCTATTCTGGATAGGTAGGAGCTACAGTATCCAGAACGAAGCTGCGCAAGTTTCTCGCGGCAACTCAAGCTCTTCGGTGTTGGCGACTCCACTTTTACTGTGTTTATCAACAACGTTTCTTTGTCTTTTCCCCATGTGCTACCGGATAGCGACTTGAGGACTCTACGGCGACTCTGTGCTTTGGCGATAATCGCGATTGTATGAGGAGTAAAGGAGCATAGACTGTCAAAAGTTACACCTAAAATTTTAGGATTATTAACAGTAAGAATCTTGACGTCATCGACTGTAATATGTTCCGCGTGGATTTGGTGGGGAAGAGTGTTAGATTCCGTTCCGAAAAAGGTCTTAGAGATAGCCGTTTATTTTTGAGCACCTGCCATTTATTCCTTTGCCCGACGTCACTATCGTGTCATAATCAGCGTACGAGGTGGTAGAAATTTCCTCTGTTGGTTAAGGGAGTTCCGTGATGTAAAAGCTAAACAGCAACGAAGGGAAGAGGACACCACCCTGCGGAACCTACTGTTTAATTAATCTCAATTCAAAGTTTTTACCTCGAAACAGTATGGATGATTGTCGACTGTGTCGAAAGCCTTTCACAAGGCCAACGCTACGGGGATCGTCCTGTCGAAGGGTGGTTTTTGGTTGAGGCCATGAACTATCTGGCCGTTGATGACGTTAAATGCTTTGAAGCCATGTTGATGGTCTGCTAGACTGAGATGGTTCCTGATGATCGGAAGTAGCAAGCCTAAAGTGTCTTCACTACTGGGGAAAGGAGAGTTATCGGACAGTTTGACTTCTCTTTATTGGCGGATTTCCCAGGTTTCATTAGTGGGAGCACTCTTCCGATTTTGCACACATCTGGTTTTTAAATAGTGGTCAGCGACAAGTTATTGATCTTGGTGATTAAGCTTACTTTCGTCGGACCTAAGTGCTTAGCATCAGCATGTCTATTCCATCAATGCCTATGGATTTGAAAGATTTTGCTTTATTGTTGACACTATGAACCTCCTCTTCGGCGAAAGTATGTATATGGTGTGCGATCCTTTGCCATTTTGCGCAGCCGTCGAGTAAAACATCGTTTGGCTTTAACTACCGAAGGCTGCCGTATAAATTGCCGGCTAAAATAAAAGGTATGGCCAATGAATTGAATTTGAACTTGGTCATCAAGTCTCTTCGGGTTAGGAGCAAAGTCTTAACAGTAATCGGAAGTCTATATTCCGGCAGACAGAAATAGATAAATCGACTCAGCTCGTCTGATCTTTTATATATTTAAACATCTCCGATGTTTTCCTCTGAGTATTACAAACTTCGTGGCAAACTCAATATACCTTTTTCAGGCTATAAAAACTATCGATTTATCGATTGTGTACAATATTTTTTATTATATTTATATATCTATCTTCTCTATGCAAGTTTTTACAAAATTTCTTCTTTGCTCTTTTCCCCACAAAACAGCACAAAAATCCGACAAGTCACAGTGGAACAGCTATACGTGCTTAAATATTGCACGGCGCAGTCACGAGGCACTGCATCACAACCAAGCGCACAGCGACCAAATGCCCGCTACCACAGAGAGTCAAACGCTGCGTGAGGCGCAAAACAAACTCAAACTGCTGGAATCAGATTATAAAATACTACATGACAAGCGTTTGAACGATGTAAGTGCAACATAAGAATTACTGGCTTACTTGCTAGTGCATTTGCAAGCAATTTTTCACAAAAATACTGTAAAATATGCATATTTTATCTACATATTCACTAACAAATGTGCCACGCTTTGTCATTTTAAACAGCTGAAGACTCTGCAGAGTGCCCATGAACGTGAGTTGGCCTCGTGTCATGAAACGGTGCGCGTGCTACAACAACGGCTCAACGAGCGCGACGAAGCCTTTGCACAAAAACGCCGCAAATTGCCAGTTGACTACTATGCGCTGAAAGCCAAGGTGAGTGGCACGAGCACTGCTAGTCTGCTGGATAACAGCAGCATTAGCGAACGCAGCACAACGTTGCAAACGGAATGTAAAGCGGCGTTGGAAAGCTGCCGTAGCGGCAATGTTAGCCCGGTAACAATGAAAACAAAAAAGAAGTCTAGCAAAAAGCATGCGCGCCGCTGAATGTCCGAGTACAAGAGAAGCGCACAAATAAAAGTAAAAAAAAAATTTTTTAATTAAAAAAATAATTTAAAAAT